ACAGCGTTAATCAAAGAATACAAAGTTCAGACTCTATTAAGCTTAGCAGAGCATAATATTACGATGTAAGCAAAATTTATACATTTCTCAGCTTTCAATCAGCCTTATAGTTTCATTCTCTTTATTATCATCTTCCAATTTCATTGCAGAGAGAAATATGAGTCTCGAGGATAAATAGACCATAGTAAACCTGGTGCCACGTTGTTTCCTCATCCCCAGGGCATATTCAAGGCTTGACTTCACTTAGGGAACTACAAAGCATGGATGCTCATCTTGGCTATTTTAATTCTATTTTGTAGGCTCTCAAATAGTATATCTCGTCTTTTAGAATCTTATAACAAATAAAAGAGGAATGCTAAGTTGATGAGAAGCCTTGAGATGCAACATGTGTCCTCGCATCATGCCCCAAGTTATTTTTAAAATTTATTCTTATCCGTGTCTCGTCTACAGCTAAGTGGATTAGTTTAATAAATCGATTTAGGCGTTTGAGGATATTAAATGTGTTCATTTAGGTACCAAATATTAATTGCTTATTTTTTAGAAGTATGACTTGAAGCAACTTAATTCCAGATCAACTTGTCAATGCAAACAGATAATTCTACTAATTTCACCTAACCATTTCATTATGAATGCATAGGATCTTGGGAAAGGATAATACTCTAGAAAGGGAGAACTGAGAAAATAATAATTTCAGCCTAAGTACTCTTTTTAAATTTATCCAACGCATTTATATTAATATGAGCTTAGAAGTGCTTTTTAAAATAAAAAACCTCATAAAGATAGTATTAAATCCCAAATTTTGCATTAGCTGTGAAAATACTCAAATAAAAGTTGTTTGACCTTGTTTTCGCGACTTGGTCATATTGGTAGGAAGACTTAAAGTAACGCACCTAGTCCGGAGTCCATTGTATGCATGATCATTTCCAAAGTAGGACGGTGGACGTAGTACTTTCCCAGACGTTTCGCCGGAATCGTACTCGGCATCGTCAATGAGTCTCGCCATTCTTAGTACCACGCAACAACTCGTCAAAAGAGACAAGGGAAGCCGATCCTTTGACCAAACGTGTGCTAAACAATTGTGGTATCTCTCCTTCTGCCATGGGCTATTCACATTTCATATATCCTCCTATCATTCCTTCACTGTCACAATTTTTATCGTACTTATTTTGATGTAGTGTGGTGTGCTCCTTCGAGCGGCATTCATGAAAACCCTTCACACTACACTGTCGTCATCATCACCTTACGCTTGTGCTGGGAATGTTGACCAGAGTCTCATTGTTACGTAGTCCTTCCCTGGGTCATATCAGAGTATCTCTCTTGCCCTGTTGAATCCGTCTGCTATCTCCATGGTACACGTATTTCATACGACACCTGCCCCACCACCCGTACTACTCGAGACGTTATTCGCCCTCCCCTACGTCTGGATGACTAGTACGAGGCACACTGGAATAAGACTAGGGAAGAGGACTGCATAAAAATAAAGCAGACTGATTAACATTCCCTGCACAAGGATCAAAGGGGTGGGGTGGGGTTAGAATGACGGTCTGAGTGTGAAGGTTTCATGTCGCTCAAAGGAGCACACCAAACTATCTAAATAAACACGGTAAAATTGTAATAGTGAAGGCAAGATAGGATGCTACCGGAAACACGAATAACCCAGGGCAGAAGGGGAGATACCACAATTTTTTAGCACAAGTTTGGTCAAAGGATCGGATTCACTTGTCTCTGACGCGTTTTATGATGTCAAAAATAGCGATACTCACTGACGATGCAGACTATGATGCCGGCGAAACGTTTGGGAATGTACCATGTCCACGGTTCAACTTTGGAAATGATCATGCAGACAATGGACTCCGGACTAGATGCGTTTCGATAAGTCTTCCTACCAGTATGACCATGTTGCGAAAACAACCTCTATACAACGAAAGGAGACTGCTACCACACAAAAGGCCACACCATCTTGGTCTTCATAACTTCGATTAAAAATATTTTTTAATGCTGTGTTTATTAGGTGTGATTAGCAAGTTCACTAAATCTAATTTGGGCTTTTTTGCTTAAATCAAAATTTCTATGAAAGTCGGACAGTTACTTTTCTTGGATGCTGAGGTTATTCGCTTCCAGGAGACTTAGAAAGGGATTGTTCTTGAAATCAGGCGTAGGGATAATCTCATTTTTCCATTGCCACCGTACAGATTCTAG